TGACTTATTCTGACCGCTTTTAAGCAAGTGGTTAGGAAATTCATGTTATCCTAGTCGCGGTGTGTGTCACGGTTTAGCGAGACGCCCTTGAAACATTTTGGTGGAAACTTTGCGCTGGACTGGAATCTGGTTTTGCGGGTGGCGGGTTCCTGGTCCCATTAATAATCTGTCTTCAGAAAGAACTTTGCTTTCTTTCCACCCAAACAGTCGGTCACATTTGAAAACGTAAAGATAAAAACGAGAACCAAACCATGGGAGACAGCGGCTGGATTTAGACCGTGGGTAGCTCCAAAAAAATGAGATGAGCGTATTTATGGACAACTCCAGCAGCGCTCCACATTTTAACTACAATTTCCCTAACACCAGGAAATTCATGCTCGTGCCAACGTTGCATACTATCAATACACTGCCTTGCCACTCGATCGGCACCGTCCAAGCTCTTTACCGGGTAATTTCAAATCTAGCCCGATTTCAGTGTATATTATGACCAAGTAGCATCGCAGCATAAGCTCTTCAGACATGGCTCCCCCCTTACGCGCTTGCTGCGAAAGACGCTGTGTGTGCAAAATTTATCTTGGGACGCCCTATCTATAGCAATAGTGGAGGCGTCTGGATTTGTCCAAAATTGATGCATGACGGAAGCACCCCTGTTTTCAAACTTTAAAAGTCGCACGCTAAATGGTTGGGAACACTATGGCATGTCATACATCAAACACATATCCGACCTGAGTTGTGTAGCTTTCCAGCTCTGGATGTGCCCTGCACCGATGATACACACGAGATATCCTGCGTCGCTCTATATAAAAGTTTAGCACTCTCTGCGCGCAGTGCCGACTGAGCTCGCTAGCACTGACGTGCTGTGCTGGGACTCTGTCACAATGATGTGCTCGCTGGGGACTCTGTCATAATGAGCACACGCTCACGTGCTGTGCTGAGATTCTGCACAATGAGCACACGCTGATATGCTCTGATGGGACTCTGTCACAATGATGTGCTGTGCTGGAACTCTGTCATGAGTACACGCTCACGAGTGTGCTGGACTCTGCACAATGAGCACACGCTGATATGCTCTGATGGGACTCTGTCACAATGATGTGCTCTGCTGGGACTCTGTCATAATGAGCACACGCTCACGTGCTGTGCTGTGACTCTGCACAATGAGCACACGTTGATATTCTCTGATGGTACTCTGTCACCATGAGTATACGCTGACAAGCTCTGTTGGGACTCTGTCACAATGAGCACATGCTGATCGTGCGCTGCTGAGACGCTTATCACAGTGATGTGCTCCGCTGGGACTCTGTCACAATGATAACACAATGGTGTACTCTGCTGGGATTTGTCACATGTAACACAATGATGCGCACTGCTGAGCTCCATCACAGTGATGTGCTCTGCTGGGACTCTGTCACGGTGAGAACAACTGATATGCTCCGCTGGGACTCAATTACAGTAATGTGCTCAGCTGGAACTCTGTCGCGAGTGCGCTGATGTGCTCTGCTGGAACTCGGTCACAATGATAACGCAATGATGTGCTCTGCTGGGACTCTGTCACGATGAGTATATACACTGATGTGCGCTGATAAGGTCTTCAACTTCTGCAATGGTTCCTTCTTTCGCGTCAGTCATAGTTTGGACCAGGGTCTGTGGAATGTGGGCACAATTCACATCAGCGGACCAGCAGAGCACGCTTTCCGCGAAGGATTTTGTGCGTCTTTCTCGTGTCCCCACGTCGTTATCAGAAGGTGCTCCACCTTGTTCAAACCACAACTCGTTTTCCATTATAACCGCTTCGGTCTGAACCAGCAGTTCACCCAGCTCACTTGGTGAAAACCGAGTCCTGCAAATCAAATTATAGTCAAGCAATCATTCGTCGTGGTCAAATTCGAAAGAGCAAAATATAAGCCTCGGTTCTTTGACTTTGCGCCACCACACTGTACCGCCGTCGCTACTCGTAAAACAAGCTGAGCCTCGCGAAGGGATGAACGCCAGCTACTCGTAAAACAAGCTGAGCCTCGCGAAGGATGAACGCCAGCCGGCTTACCGCATATGTCAGCTGAAAATCGTGAACGGGATGTGGAGGGTGGAGGAACTGTGTGTTTCCACAGACGACTTCGGTAGTCTCACCCAGCTCATCTGCGAAGCACGCGTCAGTTGATGTCGGTGCAGGAGTACGAGACCACAGCAGGCTGAATCACGCCAGGTCTAAGAGCACGCTGCATGCGATAGTTTTATCAAAAGTCGCTCACGTTGCAAAACATCGTATGTTTCGCTGGCGTTCAGTCTCATTTGCATGTTTTGCGTGTTCTGTGTTGATCTATGTAATATGTGCTGACGCGGCGTTAGAAAAGCTACTCGCTGGCTTTCGCCAAGGTTCGCAATAATAATAAGAATAATTGTTATCATCTAATAATAATGGCAGTGATAATAATACTAATGATAGCAATAATAATGATAATAATTTTAATGATGATAATAATAATAATGGTGATAATAACAATAATATAATAATAGCAAGCCGAAAGCCATTCAAAGAGGCTTGACTGAAACAGGTATAACCAAAAGCAATGTGGCAGCTGGGTAAACTTGACAAGCGCTGCTCGAAGAATGGGAGCGCTATGATAGACTGTGACAGCAGGAGATGTCCACCTACACGACTGACACTATCGGTTTCAAGGCTCCGTTTTCTATACCTGGCTTCACGCGGAGACTCAGATGCAAACATTCGCCAAAGTCGGGCAGAGAAGCGTTGAAGGCGTTGAAGGTGACGAGCGTGCTGGCGTTGGCCACGCTGGGCAGGGTCAGCTGCCAGCGACACTCTGCAGGGCTTCCGAACGGCAGCGGGTACTGGGGCGACGCCAGGGAGCCGGGCGCGCTGGTTATCGCTCCGCCGCACACTGGGGAGGCCACACACTGTCAGCAGCGGTAACCGTGTGATTCGGCTGCAGTCAGGTGCGCTGGTTATCTCTCCGCCGTAGGATGGCAAGTTTGAAACAGACGCCTCAGGCTGCAAATTTACCGGTCGCTTCTCAGTGAACACGGATATACAACGGAGAGGGGCTGCGATTTATATGGTGTGGATTGAGAGGTTTGCCTGTGGTATACCAATACTGGGCACCCATTTCATATTAGACAGCATGCACACAGACATACCGAATATTTCCCGGGACCGTAGTGCGTTATCTGTGTCAAATAGCATTTGCTGAAAACGGGTACAGACACTGGCTGATTCTCTCATATGTATGTATCTGGCTGGTTGCCTTATATGTATGCATCACCATGGCCGGGTTAAAGGGAGCGGGGTGCATCTCTCCCAACAGCAAAACGAGCCGTCTGGAAAAGGCGTCTTACGCCAACCGGCTTGAGCTATTGGACGCACCCGGCGGACTGCAGCCGGCCTGCGAGTGTCCCAGCGTACTGTATCTGTGACACTCACAGGCCGGCTCGGCGCTACCGGCGGACTGCAGCCGGCCTGCGAGTGTCCCAGCGTACTGCATCTGTGGCATTCACAGGCCGGTTCGGCGCTACCGGCGGACTGCAGCCGGCCTGCGAGTGTCCCAGCGTACTGCATCTGTGACACTCACAGGCCGGCTGGCGCATCCGGCGAGCTGCAGCTGCGATACTCACAGGCCGGCTCATTCGACGAGTAGCGCATCCGGAACCCTCTCGCCGAGGTGCTGCCGACGCGCGAAGAGAAGATGATGGTCATCTGATTGCCGGTGGAGTTGATCACAGGAGGTGCGTCCGGCGCACAGTAGAAGTAGGCGCTCTCCGTGAAGTTCAGATGGGGAGACGAGGCGCTTATTCCATCCAACACCTGCAGGCACAGGTGACAGCGACGGCGTAACGCTTCGCCGGGGTATGTGTACCGATTTTGCGTGTAAAATGCAATAGTGATTGCAGATATACTCGCGTCCATACGCCATCTTTTCTGTTTACCTTTCATCGGCCTTACCCTTACTGGCGGTTATACAAGGTTTCCCGTGAACTGCTTCGACGAAGTGTTGTCTACTGTGATCACAGTTGACGCCGGAGCATCAGACGAACCTCTAAATTACCTCTCCAGTTACACGCCTTGCATTCATCCTCTTTTTGGGGCCAGTACTTGACTATCTAGAATCGCATGCGGCTGGCCCGACAGCGCCAGGTCAGTCGAGGTCAGACCCATGTCCCGCCTGGTGGCGGCGCGTCATACGAACCGTCAGCCAAGAGCGGCAGCCGCGCGCGCTGCGCGCCGCCGGCGGCAGCTGCCAGTCCGCGGTCTCCAGGCGAATGCGGCGCCCCTCGGGCACCTGCAGCCGCCAGATGCAGCGGCGCCGGCGCGGCACGCCGTGAGGGTAGCCTGGGCTGCTGAGCTCGCCGGCCGAGTCGTACCGCCAGCCACCGCA